AACTACAAAGAAACATTTTTAAAATTTTCATCTATAAAACAGGTATAAATTTATACCTGAACTGAGATGCATGATATTAGCTTCCAGATAGCAGGACAAGAATTCAAGTTATTTTTGTTGCTATAGTTTAATATTACAGTTTTTGTTAAATGACAATGTGCTAGATCACAAACTCTATTTTTAAGCATATCAAACCAGCGTAAATGAATCAAGTTAAGCTTTCAAAGTAAAGGGGAACGCCGTTTTTTTTTTACATTGGGCCCTTGATGACGTCATACACACTCCGCTTTGTTTTTAAGAGATATAAATATAAAAAATATAACCGCAGAAGTCTGGGGGACAGTGATTCGCCTACATGTTATGAATGCTGGCGTACCATAAAGAATAAATTATGAACAGTTTAGTTTGTGCCTTCAAGTCGTTGCCCATAGGAAGACGTTACTTTGATATAACCTAACAGAATATCTTCAGAACGGCTCCAAATGACACAAACCTCATATGGCTGAGTAGAACATGATGTAATAATGTAAAATCAAGGGCCCAGTGTAAAAAAAAAAAAACGGCGTTCCCCTTTAAAACAAAAGTCTCTGTTATATTTACACCTACAGTTATTTTTCAATTCTACCATCATTTCTTAATTGGAAGAAATGTTGACACTTTAGAGTGGCTCATATAAAGCACTGGTATGAATTTGATGAGGGTGATGGCAAAGAGGTCTTCCAAATGCAGACTTTGGCTACATTCACATAACATGAATTCCATTTTCCTGCTAAAATGTAACGTTTTCTCCACATGATGGTTCATACTGTTAATTAAGTACCACCATGAGATTTGTCTGAAAGTCCCCAAAGCGAGCCCTATGTATGTGTAGAGGGAGAATGTAAACAGGCTACAATTTGAAGGGGTTTTATAGAAAATTTCCACGGAAATATAAAATATAAGGTTAGGACTACTTTAAAAGGGTTGCAGGCTTCTTGATATGTTGGTGACCAAATAATGTTATATTTGTATGTCTTCCTGTGAACACAAGAGGGAAACTCAATCTCCTTCCTTTCTTACTCTAAAATATTTTTTTATAAGACCACTCTCATGCCACAGCATCCTTATTAGCATATTCCCCATTAAAGGAGTTGAACAAGAACTGATAAAGGTGAAGCATTGGTTTCCTCCCTGAACGTCTTTGAATAAAATAAAGTTCACTTAAACAGATAATATAACTCACAAAACGGGATGAGTTGTCGTTCTTCACAGTCTTGGCGTTGCCAAATGACTCTAGGATGGGATTGGCTTGTAGGAGCTGACGTTCCAACTCCCCCTGTAAGCAAAAACAAAGAGGTAAGAGGCTTTCTGATTCTTTTCACGATTTATACTGCTACACACACAGCAAGGTTAGGTAAAGGAAATAAATCATAAACAGCAGAAAGAGAAAAATAAAGCCAAGTCAAAATGCTAAGCTTTAATTCATCAAGGTTCTGTCATCATTGGGTAAAACATCTGTCATCATTGGGTAAAACATCTGCTAAACCTTTCAGTTTCAACGGCCAATGCAACCAAACAGTTTAATGGACCTTAAGGGAGGTTCTCTCATACGCAAACTTTACACTGTAGCTACATTAACCAAACTTAAATGGCCTGTACTATAGCACTTTTTCAAGTCAGGACACTTGACCAAAGTGCTTTAGACTACATTCACCCATTTAAGCACAAGGAGACAACGACACTGAAAGCCAGAGCTGAGTCTTGAACCGTCAACCCTTCGATTTCAGGGCAAACTCCTACATCCAACGCCACTGTCTTTAAAAACTGGAAATATCCTGAGAGTTGTACTGAACAAATTTCTTTTAGTACACACTGTGTGTACAAAATGAAAATAAAGTCTAAGTCTGATACACAGATCAGTAGGCAATATGAGGTTACAGTAAGTGCCTTGCCAGGGGGACACTGAGCTGGAATAGAGCCCACAACCTTCACCCACTGACCCACAGTCACCCATTGAGCCACAGAGGATGTGTCCAGACATTTGATTGGTAGATTAATTGTAGAGCCACTCTTAAAAATATAAAAAGCAATTTCAATTTGGAGGTAAAACGAGAAATCTCTCCATTTGGTAAACATTCAACATGACAAATCCAACCTTAAGGGATTGGGAAGATGGACGGAGACAAAAAGAAGAGCTTTCTAAGAAAGATGGACTCTAACAGAAATCTAAATACATACCCTAAACTCACTCATCATCATGATATGAAAAAACAACTAACAATTAACAGTGTATTCCAAAAAAGTTTAAAAAACAATCCACTGGACTTTATTTCCAAGTTGAAGGTGTTTCACTTCCCATCCAGGACGTTTTTTCAATTCAAAATATCGGTTATAGCGTTGAGTTCGAGGTTTTATACAGTAGCCCAACAAAGCCTTGTTTTTGTTTAAAAAACATGCAAATTGAAACAGGCGAACAGGTCTACCCCTTGGAATGGGGGTCGTTTGGCTTCTTTTGTTAGCCTGCAATGACCTATATCTGTCTATGTCTCTGAAAGGGGGGTTATTTGAAATCGTAGGGAAGCGGGTGTTCCAACCATTGCATTTCCGAATTCTGCCGAGTGGTGCCCGACTTTACACGAGTGAATAAAATGAATGTAATTGGTCGTTGAAAGGGGCTGGATTGTTGTGGAGGAAGGTTCGAAAGCAAGTTTGGTTGTGGCCGGTTTATTCGGAAGCATCTTGCTAACGGAAATTACATTGGGACCAAGTAGCAATAAATTTGTGACTTAGCAACGACACTGTCAAGGAACGCTATGGACAGCGGAAACATGCAAGAGGAGGAGAGTTTTGATGGATGAGTCTCCTCTGTCATACATTTTTTATGTAGAGGAGAAAAGTAGGGACGAAGTTGTTGTGGAAGAGGACGCCAGGGCGGCAGAAGCTTGGTTTGGTGTAGAAGACTTACTGCCGCACATGTTTGAGCCCTTGCCTCGCAACGCTGCCAGTTCAATTAGCTCTACGCCTGCTGAAGACACAGATGTCAATCCCTGTGAACACTGGGACGGAACTCAATGGGAAAGGAAATTATTCTTATTTCAACCGTTGCTTATATTAGCTGCAACGATATTTATGTGCATGGTTCTGCTAGAATGATTGGAAACTTAAATATGGCTTCCCTACGACTTTAAGGGAATTGTTGGCCTAGCTGAATAGGCAAGGTCTTCTGTTCCCCTGTAAAGGGGTTGGGGTAGCGATGATAGCGGGAAGGAATCAACTCAATTGCTGCATTGTAGGTTTCTGAAAGCTGAAATCTGAGTTCACCCAGTCTGAAACGGACGAACCCCTTTTTTCAAACTTGGAAGCAAAGTACAGTGGATTATTTTTCAACTTTTTTGGGAGGACTATAACCTGGATGACTGAGAATCTTCCCCAGCAATTAAGAGTTAAATACTGTTTTTTTTTAACTTTCTTTTTACTCAATATTTTTAGTAATCTAGAGGTTCCAATAATAATTTTTTTTTCTAATAAAATTTGCTCTCCATGTTAATATTTGCATGCCTATTCCTATTCTCCATGACTGGGTAACAAGGAGCATGCCAGTATATCTCTTCTACTCTAACCTACATCAACTCCACCCACCTACTTCCAGTCACTTCTACGGCACTATTTCTGCACTCTTCCTCAATCCCTACATTCCTCTGGCCTGCACACAGCGGCAGCTGTAATGCAGAGCAGAAGGAAAGCTACATTAAGAAGGTCAGTGTGGACGGTTCAGCTTTTAACTCTCAGCTACTGGAACTCAGCTTTTTAACCCTGAACTCCGACTGTCTGAGCCAAATGTTTAAGGTCATAAAGAATAGACAGATTATGAGACCTCCATCTGCAGGTATAAGGTTTGCAAACATCAGGTTTTAATTTAGGGGGAAAAGAAAAAAAAGGAAAAGTGCAGATAAGGCAGCAAAGGGAATACAGAACTGCCTAAAATTAAAAAAGAAATTAAAAAAAGAGAGGAAGGAGTTGTGGCAGTAGCCTTTTTTTAATCTAGAAAAAAAAACATTAAAATATGATATCCTACCTAAGAAATACAGCAACATCTATTTAAATAGGCTTTAAACTACAGGCATGCATGAAAAATACAACACCATAAAAAGATGGATTAACTTGGCAAACATTTGTTTTGAATTCTTCAATTTAAAACAACAATTAGGGAAAAAATGAAGAAGCTGGAGGAGAGTTGTTTGGTGTGGCTGCCATCTGATCTGCACATTGCTCAACATCAGGCTACACAGACTCCATTAGGACTTAATGAAGAGTGTTTTACTGACCGGCATGTGTTTCTAATGAAACCTTCATTTCAAACAGTTTTAACAAAGCGGGACCAACTGATAAAACATTGTTTTATTATCACAAGCCTGCTGGTTTAATGGAAGAGTTGCTGCTTTCCAAAACCCATGTGAGAAGACTGAGCCAGCACAAACAAATACCTCATAACATCATAGCTAAGATTAGTCTGTCAGCATCATTATGGAAGAGCCAGAGATTTAAAGGGCAGGGCATGCAGATCAGTACAAACGTCAAAACAAACGACACACTTGTCCGGAGATCCACTTGCCTGCAGCTTGAATGCTTTGGGAGAATCGGGCTGTTCGTAATGGATAAACAAATGTCAGTGTTAAAAACTGAAGGGCTCGTATCGCATACAAGCAACAGAAAACAGAACACCGGCACACATTAATCTGTTTCTGGAAATGCTCTCACATTGTGGCGTAGCCTGGTATAACTCATCACAAAGGAAATATGTTAAATACTACAATATTTATTCAAAACAAATGATTTTCAAGGGAAAAAACTTTCTAAAATAGCAGCTAGTGAACATTAGATTGTGGATTAATACATGCTAAGCTAGCTAGCCCATTACACATTAAGTTAACTGGCTAACAACCTTTGTTCTACATTTATTGTTTCAATTTGTTTTTAAAGATGTGTGAAAAGTCCAGAATTTATTATATATTACAATAATGAAATCCAACACCAAAAATAAAACTCTAATCCTTATTCAGTGGAAAATTATCATGTTTAGAACTATTTTCAAAACTTAAGCTAGCAATTATTGTGCCAGCTCTTTGGACAATCCCTTTTACAACAAGAGGAAAACTAACATTTTAACAACATTTTAGGTTTTCTATAAACACTGATGTCTGGAGACCGAGATGAAAAAATTGTCTGTTTTTCATTTGTTTTAAATTGACTTATTATGCTTAACTATCCTATGACATCCCATTTCTTGTTTATGATCAAATTCATAGGGTTAAAACAATTATTATAAATAATCATGATTAATAAAATAATCTTCAACTAATGTATAAATAATTACATGGATATATCTACAAATATTATTTGCTTTTTTTGCCATTTGTAATTTATTTAAAATTTGCATAAAGGGTTTCCTTTTTTTATATTCTAAACGTTTAATTATTTAAAAATATTAATTTACTAATCAAGATTAAATAAATACTTAAATAAATGCTTAATTCAGACCTAAAAATACACCAGATTTGTATTTTAAATGACTGGTATTTTAAGGATGTTTTTATTACAAATAACTCTACAAACGTTCTCAGGTTCTTTGGAGAAAAAGAGTCCCACAGCATCACAGATCCTTCGCCTTATCTAACACTGGAAAGACCCCCTTTTTTTCCACAATTATTCCTTATTTTAAGGTTGACGCTGGAATACTCTCTTGTTTTTGTTGTTTTCTTTTTCCTTGTCTTTTTAGCTGAAACAATCAATCTTAAACGTTAGGCAAACCAAAGATGCCAATATTTGATGCAGTTCTCAAACAGTGAGCTTTGGAGATTTTTTTATTTTCTTCCATTTTGCTCAATCGGTGTGGGGATTCTTATCAAGCCAATAGCTCAGGAAGTCCAAAATAGATAATTTGAAGTTCCTTAAAAAAAATCAGATTTTCCATAAATTGCAAAATATTCATAAAAAAACATCTTTAGCTAAATATTTTTAACTTATTGGGGGTAGTGGCATCTCTGCATTTCTTTCTGAATTTTACAGTGTCATATTTTGATGCTGAATTCCAAGGCATCTAATTTAGCTGCATCTGTTTAGATGTCCCCCATATCATAGTTTAGATGGGATCATTTTCAGAGCGGGGGTCAAGAAAAAAAATGGAAAGGACAGAGTAGGGGAAATGGAGGCAGAGGGGCTCACTGGAATGTTGTGGTCTTTGCGTCCTTTGTGTGAGGAGGCAACATGGGCCAGGTACTGGATGACCTTCTTTGTGTTCTCAGTCTTGCCAGCTCCTGATTCACCTCTAAAAAGAAGAGTTTAGACAAAAACATGCATTCAAAAAGATAACAAATGAAGTATTAATAAAAAAACAAGAGCAAGAAGTGTTATTGACATGAATATGTGTTCGTTGTCTGACAATTTACACATTAATCTAAAAAAAAAACACTGTAAATCCATGTATAAAATCCCCTTTAAGCAATACTATTGTGGTAAAAACTGACTGGACAAATACCAAAATCATCAGGGTTTTATATCTATTCCTTGTTTGTCTATGTTCGACTGGAGAATGCTGTGGTCTGGTGAAACAGTCTCCAAAGTTTCCAGGCTCTGCTTTGGGGTTGTCTCTAATGATAGCTGTGTACAGGCAGGGCCGTTCACAGTTCCCACAGTCACGTCTCAGAGCCAACAGCAAAACCAGGCCAGCAGCACTACATCTAGCTACATACCAGTGGTTTTAGTGTAGCTGGTTATTAGTTCCACTGCATATAGTACAGGTTTGTAGATGTTTCACTAGAAACTGTGGGGCGAGTCCTCGAATGCAGAACCGAGCCATTCAAATGTAGGTCAAATCAGGAGTCAATCTGCATTTGGTTTAGTTTTTAAAGCAGCAAAGTTGGAGCCTTGGGGAAACAAGTTCCAAATTATAAAAAAAAAATCAGCTTTAAGGATTTCTTTAAATTGCTCATCAACTGAGACTAAATGCTCAATTAAAACCAAGATGGCAATATATTGATTTTAATTTAGTAAATAAAAAACAATCTCTATTGTTGAGCGTTAAAGTGTAGAGCCCTGATTAACTTATCAATCATAGATTAACTCCAATTTCAATTTTTAAAACAGGATAGAAGACTAAAATTACAGAAAAAGCCTGAAAGTTAAAGGTATAGAGGAGGATCTTTTATTTCCGGGTGGATCATCTAAATAAGTGGTCCTCCTAACTGTCAAT